GTAAACCCTAGTATTACACAGCTCCTGCCAGTGTTTATCATCATTATATATAATTCCTACCAGCTAGACGCATTGTTTATCATTTCCAGGCATTATCTGCTAAAAATGTTGAATTATGCAGTAGGATCTTTGCAGAACGTAATTATTAGCACCTAATAAAATAAGATAGTGATCAAGCCTTCGAGCTATTTAGCTAAATGATGTTATACCTAGGACAACTGAAATTTAAATCTTCTAGTTTGCACTCGTACACAAACCTTGTAGAACCAGATTTTGCTACTTCTCTTAAACAAAATCCTACCTTCAAAGAAGCACGTCAACGAGCATTTATTTCACTCATACTATTCCAAAGAGAATAGCCAGATCATGTAATCTTGCAATTGAATTTCATTTTCAAACATAGTTTTCCTTACCATTAACTTCACTTTTTGGAGCATTTTTTTTACAATTATTAGTTTCTATTTGTACTTCCTTTGATTTTTATATAAGCAAGGGAAGAAAATATAATTACAGTTTTCAGTTATAAGCATCGGACTTGCTTTATGACAAGTCATGCTCCAAGACCTGAGATATTAAAAATAAGAATGCCACGTTGCATATAATTAGCAATGGGAAATGGAATACTGCACAAAGAGACAACCATAACCTCTAAATGTGGGCCCTTGAGGATTGGACTCTAATGCAAACTCGTCCAGATCACTAACCCTAATATTCCATTTCTATCCCCAGACATCAAGCTAACCATACAAAAACCAAAAAAGAAAAGGGAGATTGGTCACACAATATTAAATAAACAAATTAACATCTAGCCCATTATCATCTAGGAAGGTGTAGTATATCCATGTCAACTGTCTAATTCTTACCGCAGGAGCAGCCTCCAGAGCTCCATCAGCGCTTGAAAAAGTGACATGCTTCAATCCATTTTCTTTCATAAACTTTGGACCAAGCTGCAAAATAGAAATGCAGTATTTAATGCATATGGAAACTCTGCCAATTAAAACAAATATAAGAGAAGAAAAGACAAAACACAACAAAGATTCATACATATGTGAAGCCAGTTGCAACTCGCAGAGGTCTCTCAGGTGTCCACTGCGGCATTTGTGCCAGCTCTTGTAAAGAATTTATATTCTCAAAAATGCCATACTTGGGTATCTGGCCAAAAGAATACATTATAGTTTTCATGAGAAAAGGATGTGTAATATGTGCCACTTTGTTAATTATAAAGAAAATGACTTACCGCTAGAGATAAACGGCAGTCTCCATAGTCAAGAGCTTCATGGACAAGGATAAGATCTTTGTTACCCTGTCAAACAAATTTAAATAATTAGAAACTAACATAAGAATCCCACAAAATAATGATCCAAATAAAGAAAACAAAAGTATCGGCCTGGATCCGACAAAATCACAAGCATCAACTGCTCTGACATCATCTATTTCATTTTCTTAACTTATAAAAATAAATAAAAAGAAGAAGTCTTATATTTCTGGTTAGTTCTTTTCGTTTTACTCTTTTGAAAAGGCAGTAAAAATGAATTAGAATAACTAAACTTGTTTGGATCTGTTAGCAACTGATACAAAAAATGAAAATACTAAACATGAAAAGTCAAGGTTATTAATTTCAATAATACA